TACTGCCTCAAGCACGGCGGCGTCGCCAAGCGGCGGACGTGCGAGGTCGACGGGTGCGTCAAGCTCGCCCACGCGAATCACAAGTGCGTCGCGCACGGAGGCGGTCGGTACTGCAAGTCGCCGGGGTGTACATTTCACGCGCGGTTCGCGGGGCTGTGTCTCCAATGCAACTCGGACCTGGCGCCGCTCGACGTCAGCTACTACGTATTCCATCCCCTCGACGACGTCGACATGTCGATCTTGCAAATGCTTGCGGTGGATGGCCCGACGCCGTGGGGGAGCGACCGAAGAGGAGAAAACTCCGTGTGTACAATTTGATAACACAATCGATTTTGCTGTGCCTGACAAGTCCGTCGACAGCTCGACGAGGTGCTGGACATTGTACTGTATCGTGGTGTCTGGCCCCTCCGCGCGCTTCGTCCGCCGCAACAAGCGCCGCAGCAAACAGAATTTTCACAGAGACACGCGGGCCGGCTCGGCTTGGCCAGATGGTTGTAGCGACCGGCAAGTCGACCACGTCCATCCATTTCAACAACCGAGTTATCAGGCTGAAACAAGCGCGATCGCCCCCCCCCCGACACCATGGCCACACACACAACACGCACGTCACAAACTCATGCAGTTATGTTGTACCGGTTCCCGTGCCACCATCGAACTCGGGGTAGGATGGATGGAGGACGTGCTGGTCGTGCGTACGTATTGCGTGGGTTGGTCGAACTAGATGCCACCGCGTTCGCTGCTTGCGTTCAATATCTTGCGATGGACGAAAGAATGTTCTGATCGCCAGCCGCGGCGGCGTCGCGATTTCGACGCTCGGTCGCAGGACGAATCACCACGAGAATTTGATCCAGTGACCGGTTGGTCGCGGCGGACGTCGCACTTTTTTGTCCACATGAGACGCGGCACGATGCGCCGTCCGTGTCGCAAGTCGTTGGGGCGTCGGCGGCCGGCTCGACGCGCTGGACGGCTTCGATCTTTTGATGAATGGCCACCACGCGCGCATCGAGTGCGTCGGTGCCTCCAACGTCTCGCAGCATGCCGCGTACGCCAACCATGACGAACGTGGCGATGCGTACACACCGCCAATTCTTTGTCGCACCAACCACCCATACGCACTGGGTATTTCGGCAAGGCGGCTGCCTCACGGCTGCGCTCGCAAGCGGTGTGCTCAGTGCAGCGTTCAGCTGTACTGTAGGTCGTGGGCGGTACATGCTCGGCACGATTTGGCATGGAGGGAGGGCGTCGTGTAGCCAGCGATCTCGTTGTATCCTCGAGAACATGGCCGGAACCTTGGTGTCGACCACCGCGACAACGGGGCAGCGGCATCCGTGGTAGATCGTTGGCAAGCGCCGAGATCAGATGACTACTGGAGGTGGTTGGGCTCTCCCCCCGCTGCCCTTTGTCCCCATGCGAACCCATCTTTGTCGCGGGTGCGACTGGTGGCCTACCACAGTCCGACGTGAAGCTCAATTGTTCTCAACTTTCACCACCGTGCTCGTAGCATTACACACAATTGGTGCCGCAGCGCGGCGTCGAGGGCTCCCCCTCGCCCGGCCTGCGCTGCCTCCATGGCTGCTGACGCCTCTAGTTCTTCCAGCAACTCGTTGGCGGCGAGGGCCGCCCGTCGGCGACCCACGCGCGGCGCCATCGCACGTGCCCACTCCATGACATTACGGTAGTGTAGCCACCGACGCTGACCGGCAACATCCACCACATATGTATCCGAGTTGCCGCCACAAAAGTGTCCAGACTGGCGAAAGCGAGCTCCAACCCGAGTCAGCGGCCACACATTGCGGCATTTTCACATTTTCCACATCGACCTCGCACACCGTCATGGCGCCGTCGACTCCAGAAGCGTCCGAAAGCCTTGTGTGCCTCTTCAACGACTGCACACACCCCGCCACGTTGCCGTCCCTCAAGTGCGCGTTCCACAAAGGCCGCGGCAAGTGCAAACGCCCCGACTGCCACAACCAAGTGTACGCGAGGCAGTTGTGCGTGCGCCACGGCGGCAAGAAGATCTGCATCGAGCCGCACTGCACGGCGCACGCCCGCGGCAACGCGTACTGCCTCAAGCACGGCGGCGTCGCCAAGCGGCGGACGTGCGAGGTCGACGGGTGCGTCAAGCTCGCCCACGCGAATCACAAGTGCGTCGCGCACGGAGGCGGTCGGTACTGCAAGTCGCCGGGGTGTACATTTCACGCGCGGTTCGCGGGGCTGTGTCTCCAATGCAACTCGGACCTGGCGCCGCTCGACCTCAAAAGCCACGTCCTCCTGCCGCTGGACGACGTCGACATGTCGATCTTGCAAGTCATTGCCAAGGAATTCCTCGTGGAATCACACCCCACCAACCAAACCCTGCCGCCGGTCTCGCCATGGGAAGTGGGCCGAAGCAGTTTGGTAGCCGCATGAGGCCGAGGACAATTGCGACCGTATTGTAACCTAGACAAGCGTCGATTCACACATCGCAGCGCCCACACCAGTGTGCAGACAACGCCAATGCTGGTGCGCAAGCAAAGTCGCTGGGACCCCGACCGACCCTCCCCACTGAGCCTAGCTGTTCTCGTAATTCAGTCCTGTCGTTCGAAATGTTTAGCCAGGAAGTAGCAGGCGGAGCCATGTGCCTTGCTCCTCCCACAAATTCCCGCTGCAGTGTGCACCGTATCCGATGGGAGCGAGGCGCTCGATGACGCCACGACTGCGATCCCATCTGTCGATGTGAGATAAAGATCGATCCGTACAAGCCCTCTCTCGATGTGGACACGGGTTGCGGGCGTGTGTGGCAGCCATCTTGGACCGAGATCGCTGCGACCTCTATGCAACGACTGGCCCCATCGTCCAGCGAAAGAGTATATCGATTTGAAGCCTGGGGGTGGCATCCATGGAGGTGGAGCGGCGCGCCCACCCACCCCCCTCCATCATCGCGTGTTTCTGTGGTCGACCTCGCGTGAAAGCGACATATCTACTGACCACCAGGCGCAGTCGACCAGCACCCCCACCCATGGCTCTGTCGAGACCAATGAGATCGTCGCCATGCACGTGCCCATGGCCCCCACGTTTCTGGCACGGCCTCTGTCCTGCCGCCAATGTCCCGACTTGCGGTGGATCCATTGTCTCCTCACGGCCCGAGCATCATCGGGACTGCCTTTTGACCCACCTCCACTGCGATCCAAGGCTTCATTGTTGCGTGTTGGACTGTCGGACGCTCTGCAGACGTTGAACCAGCATAGGTTTGGCAGGCACACACCGTGCTTGCCACGGACCACCATCACTCGAGCGGGAATGCGGACGTCGAGCAGTGGAGACGTTGTGCACGGATCGACAGGTTGGATCGCCCTGCTGGAGTTGCGGAGGGATACATCCATGCACGTGAATATAGCGTCAAGAGCGCGCTCCACATATACGTACAACTCAAAGTTTCGACGTTTGCCACCAACGCGTTGCTGCGATGGCGATGCGGTTCCGAGAAGCAATGTGTGTCCCCTTGGGGGTCGCTCCCCCTCGTCCACAAGTGCCCAGCCGCCTTGCCCCCCTCCACCCTTTGATCCCGTCGAGCACATGTTAATTCACGACGGGGGATGTATGTCACATGGCACGAAGGATCGAACCAAGCTCCCGTCAGTCTGCCAACCCATCGCGCCAGTCGAGTGAGGTGCTGGCGACACAAGGGGGAGGACGGAGGAAGGGGGGGCGCGCGCGAATGCTGCGGCGCTGGCCGATGTTGACGTGACTGGGCTGTCACATGCAAACCAATTAGAAATCTCATTGGGGCCAAAGGCGCGGCAGCGCCGTAGAAATACGCACGGCACTGGCTCAAACTGATATGGACGACGGTTGCTGGCAGCCATCCATTCCCTCACAAGAATATCGACACAACCACTCCAAGAGATGCGATCGAGGATTGGCGTCGATACCAAAAGATGGAGTGGGAGAGGCCATAACCCGTCGACGCTCGCCCAGTGCATGGGACAGTTTGCTGCTGCGTCGCTAGTGTAGCCCTGCTGTTTCATCACGGCGCTTGTTCAGCCTCGGAAGCCCATGACCGAGACGACGGCGTGCTTGCTGTGACTGACCAGGGTACCATGTGGACGTCGATTGCTTCCAGGACAACCACATGATGGCCTGGAATGACGTGTTCTCGTCACAACGCTGGAAACGGCGGACGATTATGACGGTGTGTCCCGCGCACTGCGACTGTGAGTCCCGCGTTCTGCTCTTGCTCAACGAAATCGTAGCTGGAATGGCATGTACAGCCATGCTTGCGTGGGGCCTGGGATGTAGAACCAGCAAAGAGAATTGGTGGGAGCGCCTACAATCGTTCTCGACGTTGAAAACACGCAACTGAGGTGGACCTTGTCGCTGTTGCATCTCCACATTCGTCGGGAGCTGATGGAGATGGCGCGCCGTCCATCGTGGAAAGGGCCCCATCGTTGCTGCCACACAAATCCAAGCATTACCCCGCACACTTTCCATGAAGAGTTGGATTTTGTAAGGGCCAGATCCTTCGACCGTTTGCATGGACCTGCGGCCATGGTACATGAGTATACATCACTCAAAGCTTGACCGCGATGGCATCGCACCACCCGATGAAGCGGATCGTTGATAGCGGGACTCAGGGAAGACGGGACGACCGGCCTTCCATGTCGCGCGAACTAACGGGTCCTTCTCAAATCATACCAGCTTCAGCGCGCCCAGCTTGTAGGAGATACATCTAGTGCATGACCAGTCCTTTACTTTTGCTCGGTAAAACCAGTTCGTGTGGCTTCAACCAGTCCGACCCACACCTGGAGCTCGTCTGCGCTACGTCCCATGTGCGGATGAATTCCTACTCCGACCCATGTGACTTTGCCATGACGACACCCGAGCCAGCAATCTTGGTGAGCATTGAGGCAATTCGCTTCCAGGACGCTAGCGTCATTCCAAGTTGGCAGGCTCCAAGCTCGAAATGCTTGCTCCTCTGTGAAATCATATCCCATGGAAGTAAAGTGCACACGTACGCACAAAGAAAATCGCGGCAAAAGATGGAGGTTGCATATTCCAGCGCTGCCGTAGACAAAGGCTTGCATCCTCAAGGCCGGCGCCGAACGTCGCGGCCCCGCGCAACGGCGCGTGAGGTAGAATCACCCTCTGAAGAATGCATGTTTCAACGCAACAATTGTATCCTATCGAGAAGTCGGGTAAACGGATTGTACGTCTCCGGTTAAAGGTTGAAATCCGGATACCGTCCCAACGTACTGTACTCGTTGGAACAACAAATTCGGTTGCACTTCTCATGGCGCACCCGCAGCGCGGCACGAGCGCCTACGGGCTGGACAAGCAGTTGGCCGACAAGGCACTCGTAAAGTACGACAAGCAGTCCGAGATGGATGCGAAGGAGTGGATCGAGGCGCTGACACGGCATTCAGTCGGCGACGATTTTGGCCTTGGGCTAAAGTCTGGAGTCATCCTGTGCGACCTTGCCAACGCCCTCGATCCGTCGCTGAAGCTAAAACCTTCACCATCGGCCATGCCTTTCAAGCAAATGGAGAATATCTCGGCTTTCCTCCGCGCCTGTCGTACGTTCGGTGTTGCAGAGTTTGACCTGTTTGAAACAGTCGATCTCTTTGAGCTCAAGGACGTCGGCCTCGTCGTTCGCTGCCTCCACGCCCTCGGCCGGGCCGTGCAAAAACGGCCTGGCTACAACGGCCCCACCCTTGGAGTCAAGGAAGCAACCAAGAACACGCGGCAGTTTACCGAAGCGCAGATCGCCGAGGCCAGGCACGCCACGTCGCTGTTGAACATGGGGAGTATTGCAACGATGCAGCGGACGAGCGTCGATACGAGTGGAAGCGTCACATTCGGCGCCGACTCTGCTTCGACTGGTGTGCCCTCGGCCGCGCCGGTGGCCACGACTCCCTCGGACTCTACTTTGACGGTACCCAGTCTCTTCCGCCGGAGCTCGTCGGCGTTTACCGACCATGTGCCAACCCCTCCACCTCAACTATCCAGTCCTGCCGTCGTAGCCAAGCCTGTTTCGTCGACACCTGCGTGTTCTACCGTAGCAGCGGCATCCAAGACAACTGCCGCAACGCCGCCGGTGCAAGTTCGCGGCGGGGGATACGGCTTGGACGCAGAGATTGCTGCCGCCGCTGCTGCCAAATACGACTACGCTCTGGAGGCGTCGATTCAAACGTGGATTGAGGCCATTACGCACAAGTCGTTTGAAACCTCGTTTGGCGAGTCGCTTCGAGATGGCCAGGTGCTGTGCCTGCACCTGAACACTCTGCACGCGCTGTGCCAAGTGCCCGTCGTGCCCATCAAGATTGAGACATCGAAAATAGCGTTCAAGCTCATGCAAAATATCAAAAACTTCCTCGCGGCCGTCCGAGCACTCGGAGTCGCGGACGTTGACTGCTTCGAGACCGTCGACTTGTTTGAGCTGAAAGACCTGAGCGCAGTCCTGCGGTGCCTCCAGGCGCTGAGTCGCGTCATTGCCAAGAAATTCCCAGCCTACACGGGCCCCCTTCTCCCCGACCACTCCACTCGGCGACCGTCTGCGATGACTCCGCCAAAGCCCGCCGCCACCGAAGCTCAAAAGCCCAAAGACGAGGCCTCCGCGGCCAACAGCACGCGCCCGTCCTGGCAGCATACCGCGGCAGTGGCCGCTCCTGTGACAACTCCGCCCGAACCGACTCCAATCCAAACACCTGCGGAAACGACTCCGTCCATCCGCCCGCAGTGGCCCCCCGCGAAAACACCCGAGCCCCCTGTCCCCGCACCGACTCCAACAACAACGACCGTCCCGGTAGCCGCCCCCATCGCCGCCTTTCGAAGCAAGGGCCTTCCCACACGAACCAACTGGACGTAGTTGTGGTAGAATTTGTCAAAACATGCCTCTTGTTTATTCTCCGAGAGTTTGCACAATGCAGCGCACTTGAATCACGGTGCTTCGTGCTTGATACCAACAATGGATGCAGCAGCAGCAGAGATTGCCCGAGGTCTACGATCAGGATGCTCTGCATGTCGCTGTTGATACGAGATGAATTCTCTACCAGGGGCCATTTCCCGGTGGCGCTCCGTTGTCATTTCACTTGCTGAACCACGACTCTCTTGTCTTCTGGCGCGACCTGTAGAGCGTCTCGGCGGCCGGTCGCAAGCATGGTGAGTGCGAGGACGAGCGCGACGTGGAGATAAGCGAGCCCCAAGGCCGCATCCCCGACGGGTTTCGTGGTCTCCATGTGGGTCTGGGCAGCATTCGCCAGGTCAAAGCCCAGGCATGGCTTGACAGCCATCCCCGACTGCAATGAAACCCTGAAACCCCAAACTTATAGTACGCGCCATGGACTCCACACGAGCCACATCATAAACTGGACGAAACCCGTGTGAGGACCGCATGTCGAAGCGCAGATGGACCCCCCAACATGGCTTGGCCAAGGTATGCCATGGCAGCACGATGGACATCCCCCGCCACGGATGCCGACGTCGATGCATGCGGTCAAACCTGCCCCAGGCCACTCACGGCATAGCGTCGTTAACCGCCGTGTGAGGCTAGTTAGTTGCATGGCGTCGATTCAAATGGTACTGAACGGAGTCTACGATTGCGCCGACGACTGCTGCACCAGATCGTAGAACGAGCTCGTGGGGTCAGCGAGGAGCGTCGCGGGGGCGTCAAACTCTACGACCACCCCTCGATCGAGCACGAGGATCCGATCGCTGTCCATGATAGTGTCCAACCGATGGGCGATCGTGAGCGTCGTCGTGTGTTTGAAGGCAACGCGGAGGGTTTCCTGGAGCAGCGCCTCTGCTGCACCGTCGACGTGGGCTGTGGCTTCGTCTAGCACGACGACTTTGCTGTGCCGGAGCAGGGCCCGCCCAATGCAGACCAACTGGCGCTGGCCCACCGACAAGTTGGCACCGCTGTCTTCGATGTAGTCTTCGAGGGCCATGTGACCGAGGTGGACGGTCTCGAGCACCGCGTTGAGCTCGGCGTCCGTGTGGGTCCGCGTCGGGTCGAGGTTGAATCGGAGCGACCCGGAAAACATCACTGGGCTCTGAGGAATGATCGTGAGCTTGGACCGTAGCACGTGCAGCGGGATCGACGCAATGTTGATGTTGTCCCAGTAAATACCGCCAGCTTCGCCTTCGACAAGGCGGCACAGCGCGGCGACGAGCGAGCTCTTGCCCGACCCGGTACGGCCGCATATGCCAATGTGTTCTCCGCACGCCACCGTGAGCGACACTCTCGACAGTGCGAGCGGATGGGACGATCGATAGCGCATGCTGTACGACTGGAACCGGACGAGGCCAGTGCGCGGCCACTGGGCCAACTCGGCCTCGGACAGCGGCGGTAACGATGACGACGGCGCCCGCAGTCTGTGCGCCGTCGCGTTGGTTTCTTCGTGTGGAATGTCGCGGTATTGCATCAGTCGCTCCACGGACGTCATGTACGTTTGGACGTAGCCGACAGCGCGCAGCACTTCTTGAATGTTGGCGGACAAGCTCATGACGTATACCAAGACGAGGCTGGCATTCTTGGCGTCCAGCGACGATTCGAGGGCGACGCAGAGGAACGACACTGCCGTCAACATGCAAGCCGACAGCCACCCGAGGCGAATCTCGAGCCACGTGCCAGTCAGCCAGTACGTCAGGTAGCACTTGGTGTTGGTATCGCACGCCTCCCTGTACCGCCTCGCAAACGCCGTGTGGACGACGGCAGGGTTGTAAACTCGTAGCGTACTCTGGCCATCGACGACGTCCGTGAGCTGCGACACAATCGTCGACCGCGATCCGAGATCGAGGCGCTTGAGTTCGTTGGCAGTCGTCAAGTTGTACATTTGGTACCACACAAAGAGGTACCCGACGGGGATGTACAGCACCATGAGAAGCGGGGTAAAATACGCGAGCACGACCACGATGCACAGCGTTTGGAACGCGTCGGTGAGGAATTGGTAGCCAAAGTAAGGCAGATCAATATCGACGGCCGCGACGTCGCTCGAGAAGCGATTGAGGATGCCGCCGCTCGGCGTCCGGTCAAAGAAGCCCGTGATCGACGCGCCGAGAACGCCGTCGATTGCGTTTGCGTGGAGCTTCGTCGCGCACAGCGTCGAAATCACAATCACGTACATATCCTTGACCAGCGACAGGACCACCGTGAGGCAAGCCAAGCCCAGGTACAACATTAAGTGGGCATGGGCGCTTTCAGACGACGGCGGCGGTGGGTTCCCGCCGTCCGAAGCCCCGCCGTCCATGGAGATCTTGGTGTTGAGAATCCAATCGGCCAGGTAGTACACAACTTGGTACGCCGTATACGCGCCAAGCAACGTGGCGCACACGACCGACGGCGGATATCCGCTGGAGCCAAAATAACTCCAGAACACACGCAGGACGACGGCACCGGTCGCGCGCTGCTCTGTGTGCATCAGCATCGACACTCGGGCGGCGACGTTGTCGCTATCGTCTTCGTCGCTGTCATCGTCATCCTGGCTCTCGTTGTGTTGTGCGGGCTCGTTCTTCTCCACGGACGACGGAAAGTTGTGCTGGTGCTGCAGCTCAGCAAACGTCCCGTCGGCCACAATCGTGCCATGCGCCATGACCACGATCCGGTCGGCGTGCTGGAGCAAATGGTGGTGCCCATTGAGCACCATCAACGTCGTTTTGTCCCGCAGGACGGCGCGAACGCGACCAAACACTTCGTTCGCGACCGTCACGTCCAATGCACTGAGGGGGTCGTCCAGCAAAAACAGATCCGCGTCGTTGTGCCGGTAGAGCGTTCGCGCCAAGTTGATTCGAGCGCGCTGGCCGCCGCTGAGCGTCGCCCCCCTCTCGCCAATCTCGGTCAGGTCGCCCTGCGCCATGTTGGCAAAGTCGGGGTACAACCCGCACGCGTGAACTGCGCGGTTGTACGATGCGGCGCAGAGGGGTTGCGTGAGGAGGATGTTGTTTCGAACGGTGTCGTGAACGAGCCAAGGTTCTTGCGCAGCGTACGCGACGATGCCCGAGACGTGCCGCATGCGACCGAGTCCGCCGTCCACGTTGCCGCACGCTGGCATGTCTCCCAGAAATGCCCGAAGGAGACTCGACTTGCCGCTGCCTACAGCCCCGACGACAATCGTCATCGTCTGCGGCTCGAGCATCAAGTTGATGTGGCGCAAGTGGCACGAAATAGAATGGCTAGCAGCACACTCGTCTGCCAAGAAGCTGGACGACGATGGGGGCGATAGCAGAGCTTGAAGGGGCTGCAAGGCTGCATGGCCACGAGGGGACAGCACAGGCGGGGGCGGAGGTGGGGCTGCATCGCCGTGGGCAAAGACCTGCGGCGTCCACGTGAAATATCCATCGCGCACTTGAAACACAAGGTGGGCTGGTTGCTGTGGCAGATCCAACGACGGCGTCGACCCGGTCGTCGTGGCGTCGTTCGAGTCAAAGTATGGATGCGACCGATCGTCGCGGCTGATGCAGTCGGGGGAGACAAGGAATGCTTGTACGCGGCGGCAGCTGACGACGGCTTCGGCAAAGTACCGCACGGCACTGGAAAAAATGTTGCATGGGAACCTCGCAACGACCATGAGCGACACCACGGCCGCCGTCTTGTCGGCAGTAATGCACCCGTCGTTGCCACTGCGCATGGCGACGGCAAACACGGCGACCGTCGTGAAGATCGGCGCCAAAATGAACAGATCGATGTTGATATTGCACACGAGCTGAAACAGGCGCAGCAGTCGCAACTCGGCGCGGCGAAGGGCCGCCAGCGACTGCGCCAGATGCGGCTCCCATGCGTACAGCTTGACGACGCGGATGCCATGGAGAATCTCTTGGGTGTGCGTCATGCGTGCGGCGGTCGCGTCGAGCAGTTTGGACCGGCACGACGCGATCCATTTCGACACGATGGTCGCCGATACGATGAAGAGCGTCATCGTGGCGGCGCCGGCCGCCGCCGAGTAGATGCAAAAGTGATACCGCACCAGGACAAACACGGCGAAGAGCGCGATGGGAGACAGCACAACGTAGCAAACGCAGGTGAGGCCATGGAAGACGCGCTCGGAATCGACGGTGGCAAACGTCAGGATGTCGCCAGGTGTGAATGGCGTACCCGTCAGGCTGAGTTGCATCGCTTTCGTGTACACGAGGTCCATGACGATGCTGCGGGCGTTCGTGCTGAGCTCGATGTTGACGCTCCATGCGTAGCCCAGGATCGTCACCGACACAAACGTGACCACGGACAGGATCCCGGCAAAGAAATAGCCCGCGTACGGGTTCTTGTAGGGCAACCCGTTAACGGGATTGATCGACTTGTCTTCGAGATACTGAACGATGCCCTGGATCATCGACGGCATGAGCAGGTTGAGCGTCAAGTAGATGGTGTGGCACATCGTCGCGTGGAGAAGTTTGGGCCAAAGCGCACGTAAAATGGCGCGGAGGAGACGTGGCGCGTGCTTCTGCCGCTCTGCGGTCCACACCGGGTCAAAATGGGACATGACGTGATCGATCGCGTCGTGGCGAGAGAGGGGCGGAACATGGTGGAGCTCGAGCGGGGTTGTCTTGCCGAGGCGGAACAGGTCGTTCATCCACGAGATGGTGCACCGCCCAATCCACGACGCTTCGGCGGGGGCTTTTGGTCTCGGCGGTGGTCGATTTGAAACCAGCTTGGATCGGCCATCTCGGGCAGGATGCACAGAAATGTTCACCGGCGCGGCCGACAAGTTGGTGATCCGCGGACCGATGTACGATCTCCTGTACGAATGGAGCTCTTCCCGTCGCGACTCGGTCTCGGACAAATACGATCCATACATCCGCTGGCTGTGCATGGGGATCTTGGCGCCACGAAACGATGCAGCGATCGGGTGTGCCGCGAGTGCGCAAAAATCGGTCTGGCCGCGTCATGCGGCATGCATCTGAGTTGCCCAGTTTCCGCTTGCTTCCGGTGGAACCTCCACAATCTTATATTGTCTGCCTGGTTGCATGTCAACTGGGGCGTGCTCAGATCGCCTGCCATCAAGTTTCCGACGGCGCCGCCGCAACGCGTCGACCGATGAGCACGCTGCCGCCGGCGCTTTCGAGCGCGACGACCACCGGCTCTTCCTAGCGGGGCTGCATCGCCCTCTGCAGTGAAGCATCTGGAAAATCCAAGCAGCCTCTGCCAGCATCGTTGAAACACATCCCTCGACATTCCACCCGAGAGCCTGCAGCGATGGGCACACACACACACGTGTGATGGAACCGTAAGCTTGTAGACCATGCCGAACTCGACCGACGTGTAGCTGAATTCGACGCGTCGTCTCGCCTACGTTGTGGCAACGGTTTCAAAAGGCGGCGACTGCTCAACGGAGTCGACCTCTCGACACAGCGACATGGCTAGATCGGCACACACAACTCCAACGCGACGACGAACGCGAGGGCACACGTGCGGGGCCGATATCGAGTGGGCGGGGCGTATCGAGTGGTGTGTGGTACGCTGCAGTGGCACGGAGACGGAGCACCACTTCTGAGCCAAACCCCATCTGATTCACCGAGGAAACCTCTCAAACTGAATACGACTCGGGTGGACTCGACGTGAGAGCTTCAACTCGCCCACGACCCATTCTTTCGCGACCGCCACCCGCGTGTTCGACTCGATCGCCGTGGCCACGCCACAACGTCCTCGGCGGCCTTGGGCCGCCAGCGGATGCTGTCGCGGGAAGCCCGCTCACCCCGAATCCATGTGACCCGAATGAGAGGCTCATGTTCGTGGGACATGACGTGGGTGTGCGACACACTCGGGGGGCTCCAGACAGCGAGTGAAAGAAGGGCAATGCATGCGATGCTCGGCCATGGACAGTCGGCCGTGTGTGTGGCCAGGGACAACAGCGACAAGCCACCCAAGGGCACCCGTTCGACGTGCAACGTCTAGGCCGTCGAGGCGGCACGGGACGCTTTGACCACATCTCCCGCCTTTACCAAGTTGTAGACTAGCCCGCCAGAGGTGCGACTCGCTGCAGGAATCGTCGACAGTCCAAGTCTGAGGCCCTCCATGGTCCCTCCTGACGCGCCGCCCCCCCACTCTCCATGCCGATGAAGATGATATATGGTTGTACCTCTGTCCAGCTGTAGCTGGCCTTGTCGACTGACGACGTCCACGACCCCCTACGGTCCCCTGACCAAACTCTAGATCGAGCGCGTCCCAGGCACTGTCGCCGTTCTCTGCACACGCCATCCTGCCTGCCGCTGGAGGACCCCTGCTTCAAAAACAACCATCGCGATCCCAACGTCGACAGCATTCCGAGAGCAGTACACATGTCGATTCAATGCACATGAACACAGAGATGCGCGAGGCCAACATGGCTAACCTACAGGCACCCGGCGGCCTTGAGCAAGTCGGTCAACTTGTCGGCAGCATCCAAGTCTGCGATCTTGTCCGAGCTACCGATGTACTTGCCACCGATCCAGATGCTCGGGTACGAGTTGGACCCGGTGAGCGTCGTGAGGGCCGCCGAGATGGCGTCGCCGGCTGGGCCTTCGCCCGCGACCTTGGTGTCGAGCTCCATGAACGTAAGCTTGCCACCGACGTCTGCCACTGTTTCCTTGGTCCACTCGCACGCTGCGCACCACGTCGCACCAAAGCCAACACACGCGTGCTGCTCGACAAAGTAGTTGATGAATGCAACCGGTTCGTTCGGGACGGGGGCGGGCCCAGCGGGGACAGCCGTCGTGGAAGCGTCCGTGGGGGCAGGGACATCCGTCACCTGGCTGTCGACGACGGTGGTGGTGGGGGCATCAGTCGGTGCAGCTGTGGAGGGGGCATCGGTGGGTGCAGCTGTGGATGGGGCATCGGTGGGTGCAGCTGTGGATGGGGCATCGGTGGGTGCAGGAGTGGATGGGGCATCGGTGGGTGCAGGAGTGGTGGGGGCATCGGTCGGTGCCGTGATGGGTACACTTCCGCAGCACACGCTGACTTCTTCACCAACGGTGAGCAAACTCGAGCAGCGCTTGTTCTGGCTGTTCACGATGGTCGGGAGCGCATCCTTCTTGCAAGCACCAGAGTACCCCGAGCACGCCTTGTTGAGAATGCCCCACGACGAATCGCCCACCACGACCTTGTATTTAATGCACGTGGCCAAGTCCAGCGTGTTGGAGTTCACTGGCGCTGTGGTTGTCGGGGCATCGGTGGCAGGAGCTGCGGTGGTGGGGGCATCGGTGGCAGGGGCTGCGGTAGTGGGGGCATCCGTGGCAGGAGCTGCGGTGGTGGGGGCATCCGTGGCAGGAGCTGCGGTGGTGGGGGCGTCGGTGGCAGGAGCTGCGGTGGTGGGGGCGTCCGTGGGCGGTGCAGGGACGTCTGTCACCTGGAGTTCCTCCGAGGGGACAGGGGCTTGCGTCGTTTTCGGTTTATTGTGCGAGATGACGACACGCTTGGTCTTGGTCACAGTGCTTTCGCCAGAGTGATCTGTGGTTGTGGGGACCTCCATCGTGGTGGTCGGCGCGACCGTCGTGTTGGCCATTTCGTTTTTGTCGCAGGGCGACGGCAGCGGGCGGCGCGCGCGGGTCGTTTGGGGGGCATCCGTTTCTTCGGTAAGGAGGTCGGGAACCACGGGGGCGACCGTCGTCGGAGCATCCGTGGGGGCAACCGTCGTTGTTGGGGTCGGCGTCGTCGTAGTTGGGGTCGGCGTCGTCGTAGTTGGGGTCGGCGTCGTCGTAGTTGGGGTCGGCGTCGTAGTAGTTGGGGCAGCCGTTGTCGTGGTAGCAGGCGCAGGGGTGGTGGTAGTGATGGGCGCTGCCGTGGTAGTGGGCGTCACAGGGGCTTCCGTCGGGGGACGAGCAGGGGCTTGTGTGGTCGTCGGGTTGGTGTATTCACATGGAGGCGGGACGGGGCGCTTGGTCGTGCACGGGGGAAGGGTCGACGGGTTGGTGTACTGGCATGGGGGCGGCGCCGGCTTTTTGTCGCCCGCGCCGTGGTGGACCAACTCGAAGATCCACTTTTGATTGCGGATCGTGATGTCGCAAAACTGGACGTGCAGCGGCTGGTTGGGTCCGTCGGTTGCGAGGCAGAGCCCCATTTTCTCCATAAAGTAGATTTGCCCCGTCAAGTCGTTGTACGACCACGCCTGGAACGCATTATCGGCATCACACAGCCGACCTTCGACCAGCCCATGCACCTTGTCCTGCACAAGCTGGAGGCACGACTGGCTGTTGGCCTTGTTGCGAATCGTTTTCGCGAGTGGATCGTAAAACCACGTTTGCGAGTCCGGGTGCACCGCGTCGAGCTTGGCGTTCGTCGTGGCAACGACGCGGCCAAACGACTCGGTGATCTTCCAGTCCGTGTCCACGATCTTGATCGTGACTTCTTCCGTCTCGAAGGGGCGGATTGAAAACTTGGTCGAGTCGTCAAACGAGCACGGGACGACCTGGAGGCCGTCGGTGGCGGCGCGAATGCACTTGCCAGGGCTCTTGTCGCTCAGCGACACCAACACACCCACGGGAACGCGGACTTCGACGGGCTTGGGCCCGAGATACACACCTGGAGCAGCCGTGCTAGTCGACGGCGACGGGCGAGGGGCAGAGGGGCGGCGCGTTGTAGTCGTGGGCTTGCGAGTGGCAGGCGGCGGCGGCGCGACGTAGGTCGGCAACGACCCGCACCATCGATGCGTCGACTTGGGCATCAAACCACAGTCACGGGGCGACCAGTTGGCATAGCACAACGAGTAGTACGGGGTGAAGAACTGGCAGTTGCGGCAGTCTCCGCACTCGGCGTAGAATTGGGGGACGCTCGCCGGCGGCGCCGTCGGAGGGTCCGTCGGAGGATCCGTGGGGGCGACAGTCGTCGTTGTCGTCGTGGGGGCCACCGTCGTCGGCTCGACCACTTCGACTTCGGGCACCGACATGATGTCGTACGTGCCATCGGCGTGGAAGTCCCAGTGCTGGTTGGCATTGGACGAGTCGCACCAGTACACGTGGAGCTGGCTCACGCCGGCGTCGTCGACGTACGTGTCAAGGCACTGGTTGGTGCTCTTGGAGCGGAAAGTTTTATGGTCTTCGTCGTAAAACCACACTTCGCGGTCGAGCGAGTCGGTGAGGCCAGTCGTGGGCAAGTCTAGGTAGACGCGGCCCTCCGTGTTGGTGTTGGCGCCATCGACCTTGATCACGAGTCCGTTGTGCCAGAGGCGGACGGCCTTGTGCGGCTTGCCGACCACGACGCTGCGGACATGCGGCAGCATGTTTCGGTCCTGGTCAAAGAGACCCCAGTTCTTCTCGATCAAACCGAACGCTGAGTCGTCGCCCCACTTGAGGTTGAACGACGAAAAGTAGTAAAAGTTGAGGTTCTGCTGCTCGGCAAACAGCAAAAAGTCCTTGAGATACACCTACACACTCGTCGTGCATGAGCGCCATCTTGTGCTGCTGCTAGAGATGGCGCACTTACCCCCGACGACTCGGGCGTGGCTTCTTTGATGGAAGGGAACGACCCGTTCGAGCTCCACCCGGTTTCAGCAATCAGGATTTGCTTGCCGGTCGCGCGAGACGAAATTTGGATGTTCTTGAGCCGCTCGAACATGGTGTTGACGCCGTCCTTCGCCCACACGTTTTCCCACTGGGAAAACTGGTTCGCGGCAACGACGTCGACGGCAGGGTACAGCGCTTGCGTGTACTTGTATGCGTCCATGACGTCTGCGATCGAGACGGGGAAGTTGAGGCCGTGCTGGCGGAGGAATGTGCGCACCTTGTCCACGTACGCAGTCAGCTTGTACGTGCCTTCGCGGTCGCTCCAGTCGTGCTTGTCCTGGATGTAGTACCGGAACATGGCTTCACTCGACACGTGCATCCCGACGACGTTGTCGTTGCGGATGCGGCCTTCCGCCACCAACCGCTTGAATGTGACAAATTGCTTGTCGAACGCGTCCTGGTCGGCGTAGATGTTGCCCCACAACCCAAGCCAGAGGCGGACGTTGGCTTCGGCAGCGACCTTGAGGACGCGGCTGATGCACGGCTCTTCCGTTCCGTACACGCGCACGTTGCGAGCAACTTGCTTCATCGCTTGGAAGTCAGCACGAATCTCCCATTCTTGCTTGCACCCGCCCCATTCGCTCGTGCGAACGTCGTAGTCGACGCCATAGAGCTTACGGTCGAGCGCCACAGAAGTCGCGAGGGACGCGCCCAAGAGCGCCAATGCAACCTTCATTGGGTTGGTTGGCCTGGCGAAGATTCGTGAAGTGGGGTGGGCCGGGCATGAAGCTCGCGGGTCCTCGTCATGTTGGGTATCGAAGTGTCAACCTCTGAAAGCGTATACATTGTAGACGTTACAATTTCTATCGAGTCGCAAAGGCAATCGGATTCTAAAGGATAGCATTTAATACGAAGTATGAAATTCATTGACACGATGACCATCCATTCTAGAGATGATTCGATTTACAAAGATTTGTGGTATATAATATGTGCAAGGGAGGAAGCGTGTACGGTGTATTCGACACCCTTTCTTACAGTATACACGGGATTGTATGGAGGGGCGCGACCATACAACGTCCCATATAAAGGTGATTTGGAGTAGCAAGTCACTTGATGTCGTCGGCTGCTTGGGAAGTGAGGCGCGTTTTTCAAAGGTGGCGATCGCCTCCTCGAAGACGACTACAGAGTACTGAGACGGCGGTAGCCCCAGCCAGAAGTGCCATTGGTGTAGTGGATGTTTTGTTTCATGGATGCACAAAAGTGATTGGGAGCGTCTTGGGTGAGGTCGGCCGTCAGGTCACTGCTGGTTGTGATTTGAATTTAGTCCTGTGTGTGGGTTCTCGTACAAGGCATTTTCGCCATTTGGCAGTGTCAACGTTTTATTGTTAAAACGCCTTGGTTATATTAGTTTAACGTGGCATACATCCAATCGCACGGCGTTTTTACCCATGTCAAAGGAATAATTGGTCTAGACTATCCGGATAAATAGGACAGGTCGTACGGATAATTTCATCTTTGCAATAATGCTCCTCCGATTATGGGCGACGACCGAATCCTTCCTCCACGATACGCGACCTTCTGGAAAATTCATTTGGAGAACCCCCAAAATCGTCCTCAATGAATAAAATACTATTTTGGCCAGTGCATGGCATCGCCATCCTCGTCCAAGCACTTGACATGAAACAACTTGATCTGGTTGTCACAACTAAACACATTGCTCCCTCTGTCCCTATATACATGCGCACATTAGATCAGAAAATGCTTGTCCCTCTCCTAGAATAAAAATGCGTATGTTCACTAGATCTCCCACGTAGTTAATGAACACTAGTCTGAAAGCGCGCTCACCACTAAAAAACTACACTTTGTACAAATTGGAACAGCCAACTGCGAATTGAATGGTTATCT